CAGTTCTGGAAGTCAGAAGTCTGTAATGAGTCTTAAGAGGCTAAAATCAACATGTCGACAAAGCTGCGTTTCTTCTCCAGGCTCCAGAAGAGAATCATTTTCCTTGGCTTGTCTAGTTCCTAGAAGCCACCTGCATCTCTTGCTTGACTCATGGCCTTTTCCTCCACTATTGAATGCATCCCTCCAACCTCTGCTTCCATTCTCACATCTCCTCTTATCTCTCTCCTACAAAAAATCTTCTGATTACATTGAATCCACTCAGATGATCCAGGATCATCTCACTATCTCAGGGTCCTTAACTTAATCAAATCTATCAAATCCTTTTGGCGACATAAGGGAACATAATCACTGATTCTGGGAATTAGGATGTGGACATACGTGGAGGCCACTATTTTGTCTACCACAACAAGGGACACAAATACTGATTCCCTCACCGGTATTTTCCTGTTTCCACCAAAAAATTTTTGAATGCTTGTCTATCGGATACTTTGCTATTTTTTAAAAGCAGAGATTCTCCCCTCAGGTAGCTCATAGTCAAACCTCATATGATGTATAAGTCCGATAGATGATTCAGTAACGTTAACAGGCCACGATTAATAAGCATAGAGTGTCACAGGAGCAAAGTGGAAGAGCAGTCGAACTAGTCTATGGGGTGCACAGAAGGTTTTCTGGAAGAGGCAACAGTGAAGAGGGGAAGGGTGAGTGGCAGGTGCCAGTTAGCTACACGTGGTGGGGGAAGAAAGAGAAGCAAGTGAATTCAATCACCTGCATTCAGGTATCAACTGGCTTTGGACCCCACCTGTGCCCCATTTCACTCTCCCTCATTTCCTTCATATAATCACTGACTTCTAGTTCACCCTAAATTCAGTAGATCACCACGAAATCACTCTTTTACATCCACTCACAACCTCTTTGTCTTTATCCTGCATTTTTGCCAAGTCCACAACCCACTGGCTTAGCCCAGCTCTTTGACATCTCTGTACCTGCATCTACGCAGCCGAGAGAAGCAGGAGAAAAACGCACACATACGCTGACTGGTATCACTTTAAATTCATAACCCTGGATCTTAAACGGGCTCATAAAGCTATGTGGAAACTCTAACATCGTCCCCCAGTCCAGTTTCTCTCTCTCTCCCTTTCCTGGGCATGTACGTCTCCAGCTCTCCCCTCCAATTGCCACCAGCTTCGCTCTCCCTTTAGCCAATAATTGTGCCTTCAGTCTCACCGTGAAAATAAAATGCTTGGAAAATAACTTCTACAATTAACCCCCAACACACTTATCTATCTAGCCCTCTAGCCAGCCATCAATCCATCCATCCGTCCATCCATCCATCCGTCCGTCTGTCCGTCCGTCCGCCCATCCATCCATCCATCCATTCGTTTGCCCTAGATTTTCAGGAATCGTGTCTTCTTTGCTGTCTTTTGTCATTGATAATTGGCACTTCTAGTCCAGTCTTCCCACTTGTACACCAGTTCCCATGTGTGTGTCACCTACTCATGGACGTCTCTTCAGTAATTCTGCTAACTTTCTCCTGCTCAGAAAACATTTATTTTTCTCTACTGAAACATTTGCATTAGCCTACAAGCATGTTGTTATTGCTTTATGTTAAAATAAAAAACCTTCTCCTATTTAACCTTCGCCATCCAGGGATCAGCTCATTTTTCTGCCCTCCTTTATGATAATATTCCACACAGGAGTACACATATTCCTCTTCTCCAAATCTCTCTTAAGCTTATTTCAAATTGGATTTTATTCTCCATACTCTAGTGAAACTGCTTATGTAAAAATGCTACTAATACTAGCTCACACTAATATAATACTATGTTTCAGGAACATTATAAAAGCACTTTATGCAACTATTTAGTAGCTTACGTAATCTTCACAACAATGTGCAAGGTAGGTAGTGAGAAGTAGAGGTTGGATTAAAATCCTGGCAGCTGCTTCTGAAGTCTACCTTCTTCTGAAGTCTACCTTCTTCTGAAGTCTACCCTCCTAACTTCTGCACTATATCGCCTCTCTAACTCACAAATAACCTCCACATTGCTAAACTTCATTACCAATTCTTGGTCCTCATCTTCTTTAACCTGTCAGCAGCATTTAATGAAGTGATTATTTCTTGCTTTTTACAAAACGGTCTTCATTTGGCTTCTGGGACTTCACATATCTCTGATTTTCCTCCTACTTCATTGCCTATGGTTCTCAAGAGGAACAGAACAGATACACAGATAAAACATAAATGGTTCCCTGCCCTTAAGGGTGTGATATTTAGTTATGTAGGAGGTAGGCTGGTGAGCAAGTAATCTCTCTACAAAGTTTTAAGAGAGATAAATTCAAAGTGCCACGATGTTCAAAACTAGAAATTACTAGCTGTTCTGTGGAATTGTGTACATTTTCAAGAGGAGTAGTACTTAGGTTAAATTTTCAAATATAAATAAAAGGATGCCAGATTGAGAATGTATATGAGTGTTCCTAGCAGACTGTATACATGTATCAAACCTTTGGATGCTTGAGAAGTGATGAAAGAAGCTCAGTGTGCTTATTTTCACCTCTTACCCAATGCCTTTATTTGATTTTGAATCAGTACCCCTGAGAATTAGGCTAAATTGCTAACAGAAATAGTAACATGCAGTAGTAGTAGTTTCGACCCCTTTTCAGGCACATGAACATTAGATTCCTCTAGAGATCTTTTAATAAATATCACTGCCCAACTTGTACCCTCAGTGACTCTCATTTAATTTTTCTGGGATGGGACCTGAGCAGTGGTGTTTTTAAAAGATCCCCAGGTGAGTCCAATGTGTAGCCAGAGTTGAGAGCCACAGACTAGAATATAAGCAACGTGTGGGAGGATGAGCTAGAAACCAAGTCTGCAGGCCGGGTCAAAGCTACATTGTAAAGGTCTTTCAGGTTGTGCTAAAGAGTTTTGATTTTACTTGATAAACAAAGCAGGGATAAAGATGGTTTTATGCAACATCATGACATGATTATATCAACATTCCCAGAACAGAAATAACTTTAAAAACTAATATGAGTTGGGGAATGGAATATCATTGCAATAACTCAGGCATAAGTTGATGAGGGGAGCCTGTTGTCTTAATTCTCCCTGTGTCTGGCATGTTTGCCAGATGCTAAAGAAGGGAGATATTTAGGATGGTAAAAGTAAAGGATTTGCTGACCGGATGGACTGTTGAGGGAGAGGGTTCAAGATTTTTACTTTGTTTCAATATGGATGTCTTGGAACGTGCTTTCTTCTGTTTTGAACGTAAATTTGTAAATTCTTGAATAATACTGGAAACGAGTGAGGGGAGTTGTTGGGCTGGGCACAGACCCTTCACACCTGTCCTGTGCAGATCGTGAGCTAGGTGGTTGGAAAAAGATGCTGGGGCCTGTTGGCAAGGTTGACGTGCTTTATTCAGATGTGAGCTCAGCCCCTCGTGGATCGGAGCTACTGTCTTTTATACTAGAGTCAGCTAGCCAGGGAGCACCTGGACACACATGCACATCTGTACCACTCTTACGTCATGTATTACAACAGACATGCAGAGTCATGCTCAGCTGGATATGACATGAGGGAGCCTGCCAGTCTGTCTCCATTTTCCTCACAGGAGCTAAGACAAATATATACAAGAGGTTTGTCCCTTAGTTCCTTGCAAAGTCATGCATAATCTCAGCTTCAAAGTCTTGATTAAATCATACTGAGGCCTACTAACAGCATCTGAGTTTTTTTTTAAGCATAGTGTGAGGAAAACCTCATAGCTGGCTGAGGGCCTGCCTATAAAAGGGAGCCGGCTGAGGGCCTGCACATGACAATGTCTGTTGTAAATACATTAACTGCATGTGTGCCCAGGTGTTCCTTGGCTATCTGATTTAAGTATAAAGGACAAAGGGCTCTGATACGCAGGGCCCCCAGAATGCCTTCAAGAGGCCACCAGGAGGTCACCAGGGGGCCACTGCTGCTGCTGGAGGTTGCTGCAGGCTTAGCTCGTATCTGAATAAAGCACGTGAACCTTGCCAACAGCTCCCAGGATCTTATTCCTAGCTCGTGACCGACATGTGAGGGACTGTGACCCAGCCTGTGTATGAGGGGTCGGTGACTCAGTCTGCATATGAGGGTTCTTTGACCCAGTCTGCACAATGGGTTTGAAGGATCTGTGACCCAGACTGACAAAAAGGAAGGAAGAATATTTTAGAATGTTCTCAACACAGTCCAAAGAGAAGTGGAAGTCAAAGAAAAAGATGGTAAGGACAGAGAGGAGTGGGCAGCACTTTATTTTAACACTTTAATTTGGCTCATTCCACAGTGGCCTTCTTTGTGTTTAAAAAGAGGCCCAACGTTCCTATCTCAGTACCTTTGCACCTGTATTTCTTCTGCTTTGAACATTTTCCATCCAGATTTTGGCATGATTTTCTCCCTTCTTTATTCCATATTTCTGCTCAAATATTACCCCATCAGACAAACATTTATATGTCTGTTAGTCCATTTCTGTTGCTTATAACAGAATACCTGGAACTGGGTAATTTATAAAGAAACAATGTTTACTGCTAGAGTTTTGGAGGCTGGGAGTCCAAAGTCCAGCGAACACATCTGATGAAGGCCTTGGTGGTGGTGACAGTAACACGGGCATCTCGCATGGCAGAGTGGCGGAGTGGAGAGAGAGAGCTCTTTATGTGCTCTCCTTTCAAAGCCCTCAGAACCACTCCTGTGACCACCATTAAACCATCAAATGGATTAATCCATGTAGTAGGGCACGTCCTCACAATCTAATCACCTCTTCAAGGCCCCACTTTTCAACTACAACAATAAGATTCACACCCTCCCTACAGTCACAGCGGGGATCAAGCCTCAGTGAGTTTGGGGGTATATCCAATCTACATTCTGCCCTGGGGCCCCCAAAACTCATGTCCTTTCCACATTCATTTCATCCCCAAAGTCTTAACTTGTTTCAACTCAATAGTCCAAAGTCCAGAGAGTCCCATCTGTGAAATCAAAACAGGTTATCTACTTCCAAGATACAACGGTAGGACAGACGCAGGGCACACATTCCTGTCAGTGCCATGTCTAGGTCATAGTAGGAACCATCCCTGTCTGAAAACAGCTTTTCCACGGAACTGGGTTTTTTATTCTCCAGTGTTTCAAATATCTGATCTAGCAACTTCCAAAAGCTTCCTCTATTTTCTTGAGGGCTGTCGGTTTCCAAAACACTGCTCTGAGGGTTCTTTGGCACCTGTGCCAAGGTGACCTGGGAAAGCTCAGACACTGGGCCCAGCTCAGGAGCGGAGTGTCCCTCCCCCTGCCCCCTCGCCCAGCTGCACAGGATCTGCATGGAGAGGAGGCAGTTGAGCGGCACCCGCGTGGCCCTCTGGGACACCACCACCTGCCACGTCCCATCCTGGGTCATCTTTTCCTGAATCTGCTGGGCTGTGTTTGCTGTGAGCACCGAGTGGCAGAGATTGGGTTTGACCAGCCTGTGGCCGAGCTGGAGCTTTGCCAGTGACACGTCCAGAAGCAACTGCTGCTGCAGGCTGTAGGACGGGTCCGTTTGGAACCAGCCTGGCCTCCCTGCGCACCTTCCTCACGGTCAGCTTCTTTTGTACTCACACAACCCTTGTGTGTCGCATAGCCCCACCTCGCCAGCGACTTCATCTGCTTTCTCTGGTTTCTTTTCTCTCATAATGCCCATCACTACCTGCTATGAATAAATTACTTCTAGTAAGAAGAATATGGTAGGCATGGAATGAATGACTCATGGCAGCAATGAAGGCAGGAAGATGGGAAAGCATCTTAACAGGAAAGTGTGTCTCAAGAAAGAGACAATTTATTTCTCAATAGAGTAAAAATAGAAAATAAAAAAAACAAGAATAACTTGGAATGATATGAGCATATGGTTCTGTAATAAAAAGAATAAAAGTAAACATTTCAGAAGTTAAATTTTCAGAGCTTTCCCATCCTCAACCTATGGACAGTTCTGATAACCTCACAAGCACGGTCTCATTTTAATTCGGTGGACATTTTTTCTGTGAGAGGTGCTACCCTTCTGGTTATTGGGAGAGAGGTTTTCTTAAGGGATGGAGAACGCAAACCTCCTTGAGACCAGGAAGCCTGTCTATAGTGTTTAGTATAGTATTCCAGGGCACCAGGATGCCATGAATTCAATAAACAACTGTTTAATTCATTTATTAAGATATTTTCTGAGAACCATCTATGTACATAGCACCAGGTCCTGGTCATGAAGGGGTGACCAGAACAGATGAGGTTACTATCCTTATAAAGCTTAAAGTTTACCAGAGACAGACAAATATTTAAATAAATTATTATAGAGTTAATGTATAATTCATTGTTACATAGTTTGTGTATTAAAAGTAAAAGAAAAAGGCAAAGACAGTTTACACTTTCTAGCTATAAATGAGTGTAAGTACTACAAAAAGTTATAAATTTAGTCTCTAAAGATGATAAATGAATCAAATTATTTGAACATTTCCACTCTGACTTCAAAATAATAACAGAACCAGGTCAAGATAGGGATAAAAATGTCGGCTTTATTTCCAGTGGAACTAGGTTGGGGAACATAGCTTGGGACTGAGCTGCGGTCGCAATCAGGCTTCTCTGCCTTTTCCCAGTGCAGAAGTTGGGATCCAACCCAGGGGGAATGAGGTTTCTACGGACCCTGATGCAGCCAGGAGGTGTAGCTTAGAGATGGGTCGCCCCGTCCACAGATGAAGCCTCCCCTGGTAATGGACACCAGGAGTCAAACAATGATGCAGTGGCGGGCTATCCCTTCAGAAGAAAGGCCCTAGACAGGTTGGTCCATGTGAGTTCAGAACTTTTGCCAGTGTGGACAATCAGACGAGAGGACACATCCCTCCTGCCGTGGGAGGAGCCCGGGTGAGAGGAGGAAGGGTCAAATCTACTTGTCTAATACTCCCAAGAAGGCAGAAATCTCTATTTTCTAGCCTTCCAGAAAAGGATGAGATGAAAAGGATAATTCTCTACATTATGGGTCATTTCATTGTTATTTTAAGTTTAATTATCTACAGGAATTGTACTTGGTTTACCTTTGCCCTCCCTTGCCACAGATGAAATCCTCCTACCCATAAATAAGGACACTTCATTTGATGAATTACCTTGTACCCCTTAGATATTGTAGTCTTTCAGGGCACAGCTATTAATTGGGCTAATATTTTTACCAGTAAGAACTCTTTGTGTTGCTTTACAACATCAGCTTATACATTTTTTCTACATTCTTACACTTCATTACAATGTAATGTGTTTTATATTAGTTACATCTACAAAAACTAATTTTCTCTATCAAATGATGCATGCAAGTTTGAATTGCCACAATTTACTCTGGTAAGAATGTTGGAAGGGGTTCCCTAAAGCACTCAAAATGTAGCATTTTCACCATCATTTTAAAAGACAAACTCCAGAATTAAATGAAAGGGGACTAAATTTAAAGGTAGAGTGGCATCCTTATGTAAATAATACATTTTATTTTACTTTTCTAAATACTTTTCTAAGTGCTGTTGTGAGTAGGTTTATTTGTGTTTCACAGACACAGGAATCGGGATTCTTATACTGTCAGAGCCGGCACAGTGATAATTTGAAGAATGACTTTGCTGATCACAGCAGAAGTTGGTGGCAAAGCAAACACTGAGCCTGCATCTTCTGACTGTAAGTCCATTTGTCCTTGATTCTTTTGACTATGCCATGTTTACTTATTTTATTCTAGAATATTCTGCAGCACTTCTCTTTTTTTTTTTTTTTTTTTAACTTGGAGCTTCTTGATATCTATCACAGAATACAATTTTATGTACTTACCCCATGATTAAAAAAATGTTAACATTTTGCAGATTTGCTTCACAGCTCTTTAAGCAAATAAGTAAATAAATAAATTGATCAATAAGTAACAGATAGAGCTAAGACTGTTTCCTCTTGTCCTGTCCCATTCCTCCACTCACTCCTTCCTTCCTCAGAAGGATTTGGTTAGTTTCATTCCTGTGAATATACTATGTAGCTACAGAGGCTTCAAATTTTTGCATAAATATCTTACTCTGTATATCTTTTTTTCAGCTTCTTTTTCTCAGGGTTTTAGTTTTGAGATTTACCTGTGGCATCATATGTAGGTTTCACTCACTCATATTAAATGAACTATTTTTTTTTCTGCATGAATATTTATCTATTCTCATAACGGAAGACAGTTTAGTTGTTTTCCAGGTTTTTTAAAAGTTATAAACAGTGTTACAACAAACGTCCTGTGCAACCCAATAAAAATTTCTTTAGGGTAGACATATATAAATGGCATTGCCATGTGGTATGGTGTATGCATATTCTAATTAAGCAGATTTTCTCAAAATGTTCTCTAAAATGGTTAAACCAATTTATATTTGTGGCGGCGAGTAAGAGTCCATATTTTCCCATATCCTTGACAGCATTAAATATTTGTAAATTAATTAAATTTTGCCAATGTGGGTGAAAAAGTGATATTTTATTGTTTCAGTTTGTATTTTTCTGATTACTAATAAGACTGGAAATCTTCCCATATATTTATTGACAGGTCAGATATATTATAAACCTTGGCAACTATTTTCTATTTTGTTATTATTTTTATCTTTTCTTAAAAGTTATTTATATGTTCTAGAAACTAATACTTTGCTGATCATAGACATTGCAAATATTCTCTTCCAATATTTTAATCTTTGAACTTAAAGTTTATTATCATTATTATTATTGTTATTGTCATACTGTTTATTTTTAGTTAGCCTACACCTCTGGGCTGTGGACTTCACAAGTGTTTCTCAGCTTTTTTCTCCCCACTTAGGCAGGACAGGACGGCTATAGTGGGACGGAGTTGGATATCTTCCTTCCTCCGGCTCAGCTATACTCTGATGATACCCCAGCAGGGTAGGCTCTGATTAACTAGTTTCTCCTGAGAACAGACCTTGTTAAGAATAAATGAGTGCCTGTCATATTTCAGAATGGTTCCTTTCCCCTTACCCCTGCCAGAAGCATGAATGAATTTTCTCTCATATTTACTGTGAGAACCTGGTTGAGCTTTTGGAGGTGAAACTCACAAAAGCCTGGGCACATCCTTATGATGGGGTCCCCCTAGATTTTTAACTCTCAGACTCGTCCACACCTAGCCTTGAGCAATCTGTCAATTATAGTTTAGGTTTTCCAACCCCAGCACTGGGTCCTGCAGAGGTTTCTGCTCTGGTAACTTGTAGTTTCCTATGTCATCCCTCTCTCTCTCTCTCTCCAATTTTAGGGACCAGTTTGCCCTGTGATCTTGCTTCTTACGGATCTAAGAAGAGTTGTTGATTTTTTGGTTTGTTCATATGTTTAACTTGTTAAGACAGAATGATAACTTTTAAGCTCCTCACATGGAGAACTGGAAACCAGAACTCTCCATGGTTAATTTCTATTTGATCATTAATTAGTACAAACTTTTCAGTGTTTTCACTGATAGTTGATATTTTTTGCAACTGCTTTCAGAAGTGCCATTTGATCCTGCTGTCTTAAAGATGGTCTCAATGCTTACTCCTATAGTTTGATATTTTTTGTATTTGATCTTCTTTTAGTCTTCATTTTGTTTTTACACATGGTTTGAGGTAGGAATAAAATGTAGCTTTTCCATATGGATAGTTGTAACCTATATATATATATATACACAAACACATATATATCTCCTTACTGAATGTATTGAAATATGTATGTTTGAATAGTCCATCTTTTCCTCACTGATCTTTAAAACCACTTCTGTCATATATTAACTTATTATATATATTTTTATAAGCTCTCTGTAGCTTTGTTTATTTCTGTTGCTTTGTTGCCTCCATATACTCATTCTTCATAATTTTATGAGCCATTTGGGGCCTCTTATTTTTCCATATGAAATTTTGCATCATATTATCAAGGTCCCTTGCTTCTGTCGTATATTAACTTATTATATATATTTTTATAAGCTCTCTGTAGCTTTGTTTATTTCTGTTGCTTTGTTGCCTCCATATACTCATTCTTCATAATTTTCTGAGCCATTTGGGGCCTCTTATTTTTCCATATGAAATTTTGCATCATATTATCAAGGTCCCTAAAAAATTTTTATGGCATTTTGTTTGTTTGAATTATATTAATTTTTTTTTCTTTTATAAACTGGGACAAAATAAATAGTCCAGGTTTCCGTATATATTATAATCACATTTTTTTTTGTCTTTGAGATAATACTTTGGTCACCTTGACTGAAGTTTTGTGTTTCCCAAAACTCTTCAGTCATTAGTATAAAGTCAGTTTTTAGGTTTATTTCCTCAAACGGCTAATCACATCCAATGTATGTGACATTTTACCAGTTTACCCCTCTAAGGCAGTTGCCATTTTTAAATTTGTGTCAAGAACATCACTGAATCTTTAGGTTTTATTCACGTTGGCTTATTGGAGTAATCTTGTTGCTATGTCTGGATCTTTAATGATTACCTGTGATGATTATAATCATCATGCTTGTATGAAGTTACCCTTTTTCTTTTGATATTCTGCATGCTTGGGTGCTTTGGCTAAAAACAGTTTCCTAAGTTCAGGC